GAAGGCAAGGGCTTGTGCGCTTTCTTGGCTTTGTCCCTCATGGCTGGCCCGCTGCCTGATGAGCCACATCTCCACTTCTAGCTTTTTGGCTCTACCTCTTGAGCCACATCTCAAAGTGCAGTTCTTTAACGGCTAATTGGAGATAAAGAGTCTCACAGAACTTGCTGGCTTTCAAACTGGGATCCTCAGATCTCAACCTCCTGAGTAGCTGGGATGAGAGGCTTGTGTCACCAGCACCTGGCTTAAAATTGCTCGTGCCTCATAAAATGACTGGACTAAGGGAATATGCCAGAGTCTCGGGGGATGTCTGGGATGGTTTCTACCTGTCAGTCAAGTGCACCAACGTCAAAGGTTCAACCTTTCTCAGGTATTTTCTCCCTCTCGCGAGGAATGGGTACATTGTGTTTGCTCTTCAAGTCCCCCTGGGAACTGAGAGGCTGGACCCTACACCCTCTCCCCCACTGCTCTCTGGGTGATATCTTTTAAAACACAAAGTGTTTGACTTGGATGAACTCTAGCTCTTGTCGCTTGTGTGCTTGAGAGCAAACTAAAATCTTCTGAACCCTGCTGGCCTGGCAGTGGGGAGCTGGAATGAGGAGTCAGCTGGTATATGAAAGTGGAAAGAAAGCTATGAAAATAATTTGACATTTCAGCTGCATGGTGGAGGATCCAGTCTACCCGGCAGAAGATTGAAGAAGAGCTTTCTGGGTGCAGTGACCATCTGGTTGGGTTCTCTACTAATCCACTGTAAATTCCTGTTACAGTTTATTATCACAGATTCAAAACAGGACCCCCCCATATGCCAGCACCATATGGCAAATACTGACAGTGATGGTCATGCCGTGCCATTATTAAAATAAAGCCAATTCACTTATAGAGGATTCGATGGAAAAGCAGGGCCAGCCGCATCTGTGCAGCTTCCTGCCAGAAAGAGAGGCACTGTGTTCAGAGAAGAGCAAGTTGGCACCACTTAGGGACAGCGCTAAGGACACAGCTCCAAGAACCCATGCCATCTGCTCTCCTGAAAGGAGGCATAAGCCAGAAGATGGAAGGGAAGAGTGGTACTGTGTGTACAGCCCAGGCCAAGCAAAAGACCTGAGAGGCCATGAGTTTCCCTGTGCAGGTGACACTGGTGTGTGTGTGTGTGTGTGTGTGTGTGTGTGTGTGTGTGTGTGTGTGTGTGTGTGTACTGGGGCTTGAACTCAGGACCTAGGCACCTACCCTAAGCTTTGTCACTCAAGGCTGGTGCTCTACCACACAGAAGCCACATCTCCATTTATAGCTCTTTGCTTGTTGATTGAAGATAAGAGTCTCACTGGCTGGTTTTGAACCTCACTCCTTAGACCTCAGCCTCCTGAGTAGCCAAAATTACAGGGGTGAGCCCCCTGGTACCCAGCAACACTGGAGGTCCCAGATATTGTAGCTGTACTTTAAATGGATCCCTTCCTGGGCCCCCCCCTCCCCAATCTGGAAGAGTAGTGACTTAGTACCATAAATGACACTGAAAATAAACCCGAGTGGTATTGATTGCTCAAGTCTCTCATCCAAGCCTGAGATTCACACCCACATGCGTTTTTATCCAAGCTGAATCTGCCAGGCAGGGAGACTGTTTACAAACACTGATAACACTCTGGAATTCTGCCCACTCTCTCTCTCCTGAGTTTAATCTTTTTTTTATTCTTGTCAGCCTAACTGGAAAAAAAAATAGTGTTCAAATCTCACTTTGATTTTCCTCTCCCTGGCTGTCCATTTTTTCCTCGGTCTATTAGCCATTTGCATGGCCTATTGCATTAATATTCAGACAATTTGCCCCGTATTCTGAAAAGCAGTCATCTTCTTATTAGTGTGAGAGAGTTCTTCCCACAGAGGACCGAGGAACTGGGTCTGTGGCAAGCATTTCCATCCTGTCTTTTGGCAATATTTGTGGCACTTCTGTTCACTAAATTATGGATTGTCCATCTTGAGAAGGTGGTCGACCTCTTCATGGTTTCATAAATGTGTCCGTATGCAAGGGCTGTTCCTTCTAAATCCCTGCTGAGATGGAGGGGTCACTAATCCACCTGCTCTGTGTGTGTGTGTGTGTGTGTGTGTGTCGTACAAGCTGAAAGTGACCCCATGTTTGATGAATTTATATGATCCTTCTACAAAATCAAACCTGACATGAACCAAGGATTAAGCTGACTTCCCAGCCCACCACCTCGTGAGCAGACCAGCTGTTGAATTCTGACATTTGCATTTTCTAGCTTGAACCATCTTCCCAGTATTAAGAAGGAAGTAGGAAAGTTCCCTGGTGGCCTCCTCCCGCACTCCCATGTCCAGCCTCAGGTCCCAGATCCTCCCTCCTAAGAGCCTCCCTCCTCCCCTCTGGCTCCTCCCTGCTTTAGGCAGGTGTCTCAGCTTATGGGGCTCCTTTCAACCCACTTCCCACCCTGCAGCCTGTCTAAAATCTCAGGTCTTCCAGCCCCACCTCCACCCCAGTTCCCCCACCCTGTGCCCTCTCCCGAAACAGCCCCCTCCAGACACTCCCGAACTCCTACATATGCTAAGGAGCCCTTTGGGATCCCAGCTTTTGCAGGACTTCCCTGGCTCTGTTTCTGCAACTGTTCCCCGGTTCCACACGCTGGGCAGAGCCAAGTGCTGTCTGTGCCTCACCACCCTCGATCCCCCTGGTGAGGACAGCAACGGTAGCTACACGCGGCTGCCCTTCCAGAAGCTGCACACGCTGGTCCAGAGTCTTCCCTGAAGGGTCTGGGGCTGTGATCTGGTAGCTGAGGTGGGGTCTCCACACCCATGTTCTGCGGGTAGTTCTCTGAGTCAGGGGCCAGACCCAGCATGGCGTGCACCCCCTTCCCAGAGCCCTCTCCTACCTCCACCAGCCCCCTCACACACCCCGCACCCCCTCTTCCTGGAAATCAAAACCTAGACCCTCCCGCTGTTAGTGTCAGCAGCTAAGTTAACCCAAGCAGGAACGTGCAACACGCCTTGGACTTCAGGTGGTTCTAGGGATTGAAGTCAGAGCTGCACACCTGCCCTGGGGGGATTCTACTGCTGAGCCACACCACCAGCCTTGCTTTTTGCCAGTTTCATTTAAAACAAGGCGTCTCTTCCTTCCCCCAGTGTGCCAGACTCCGGTCTGCTTTCTGGCAGGTAGATGTGGCCACAGCCAGCCTCCCTCTGTTGAGATTAGAGTCTCAGGGATGTGTCTACCCTGACTTGACTGCAACCACCAGTCTCCCAGGCTTAGCCACCCACTAGGTTCAGGTGACAAGACTGTGCCTCAGGGTGGCTCTTTGGGTGCACTTGCACCAGCATCTGAGTCTCTGATGTCGTTCCTGGAGCTGAGAAACACATGGGACAGATGGCTGACATCTCCTCCCCGTGAAGTCCTGGCCAGTCCTGACCTCCAGGTCGGAGCCGCCTCGGCCCGGTCCACACACTCCCGAACGCATGACAGGCAGTGACGGACTCTCAGGAGCCTGACTCCAGCGTGGCAAGAAGTTCCCCTGCGGCTTACACCCTGGTGAACAGCGCCACGCCTGCACTTTGGTGAGCAGAGAAGCCCTTGGGCGGGGCCAGCTTCGCTGCTGTCGTACGTTCAAAGCTGCCCACCCACCTCAGCCTCAGCAACCACCTCGGAGCCCGTGGGCCGCTGCCGACACAGCCCAGACCCCACGCACACGCACACGCACACACACACACACACAAGGCTCAGAGGACGACTAGCGTTTCTTAGCAACAAGTTCTTTTTCCATCGAGGCGTGCACATTGTTCTTCAGACAGAGCACGTTACACACTCAAAGGTCTGACCGCAGTGGGATTCTTCTAGGCATTGAAAATCAAAACTCACTTCGTTGCGTTCTTTGCTCTCTTGAACCCAGCCTACAATATCTACAAACTACTCTCCACGGTAGTCTGGGGGTGGAGGGTGGGGACCCATCTCTCTTGCTCACTTACATTCCCTACACCCATCAAGCACCTGACACTAGCAATTTTTTAAGTGATCGCACCAACACACAGACGAACGGACACAATTTCCCTGACAGATCCCAGCTGCTGGGCCTCCACCGCAGAGGACCCCTCTGGCCAGCAGAGGGCAGCAGTCTGCTTCCTAATCTCCCTGCAGAACCCCAGGAGCCCGCGACCCGCTGTCAGTCAGACAGGTGCCTGATGCTCAGTGGTCACTTCCCAGCACTGAACATTAAGTAGGAGTTGTTTGCTCTCCGACAACGCATGAAACCTGAGCTCCACCCCCCCAACACCCCTCCCCCTTCACTTCTAGCGACAGGTACCTCGTAACTGCAGCGGCCAGTGGCAGATTCCCGGCTCGCAAGTGGGGAAGTGCGAGGAGACAGAGAGGGTCGGAGAGGGTCCGGCTGATCAGAAGCCTCTGCTCACCGCGGCTCCGCCTCTGCGTGCGCGCCGCTCACTCTCCTCGCTCCGCGTCTTTCCATCCCGTCTGACTCTGTCTGCCTCACTTGTCTCTCTTGCTTTCTGTGTTGGTGTCTCTGTCTCTGTGTCTGTCTGTCTCTCACTGTTTCTACCTCTGTGTCTGTCTGTCTGTCTCTCACTGTTTCTCTGGGTGTGTGTGTCTGTCTCTCTTTCTCACTGTTCTTTCTGTGTCTGTCTCTGTTTCTGTCTCTTACTATCTGTTTCTATCTCTGTCTCTTTCTCTGCCTCTCTGGCTGCCTCTGTTTCTATCTCTGTCTGTCTATCTGTCTCTGTCTATCTGTCTCTGTCTGTCTCTGTCTCTGTCTGTCTCTGCCTCTGTCTGTCTCTGTCTCTCTCTCTGTGTCTGTCTGTCTGTCTCTCTCTTCTCCTTTTCCTCCCTCCCTCCCTTCCCCCTTTTTCTAGGGGAGACCAAAAGCTAAGCCTAGCCTGAACAAGCATCCACAAAAGGCATCTGGAGGGGGACGGTGTCTTTTTTGCTTTTCTGGCGAGCAGCCCTCGTTCCCCGGGACCCCCAGGGCCTCCCCCAGCCCACGCCCGCCCCGCAGTGAGCCATGAACGCCTCCTGCCACCCGCCCTCTGCCCACCCCACGCTGCCCAACAGCTCAGAGCCCCCGGCAGCCCCCGCCTTCAGCAACCAGAGCAGTGGCCGGTTCTGCCAGCAGGTCTTCATCAAGCCCGAGGTCTTCCTGGCTCTGGGCATCGTCAGCCTTCTGGAGAACATCCTGGTGGTCCTGGCGGTGGTGCGGAACGGAAACCTGCACTCGCCCATGTACTTCTTCCTCTGCAGCCTGGCGGTGGCCGACATGCTGGTGAGCGTGTCCAACGCGCTGGAGACCATCATGATCGCCGTGGTCAACGGCGCCTACCTCACCCTGGAGGACCAGTTCATCCAGCACATGGACAACGTCTTCGACTCCATGATCTGCATCTCCCTGGTGGCCTCCATCTGCAACCTGCTGGCCATCGCCGTGGACAGGTACGTCACCATCTTCTACGCCCTCCGCTACCACAGCATCATGACGGTGAGGAAGGCCCTGGCCTTGATCGCGGCCATCTGGGCCGGCTGCGGCGTCTGCGGCGTGGTGTTCATCGTCTACTCGGACAGCAAGACGGTCATCGTGTGTCTGGTCACCATGTTCTTCGCCATGCTGCTCCTCATGGGCACCCTGTACGTGCACATGCTCCTCTTCGCCCGGCTGCACGCGCAGCGCATCGCCGCCCTGCCCCCCGCCGACGGCGCCCCGCCCCGGCACTCCTGCCTGAAGGGCGCCGTCACCATCACCATCCTGCTGGGCGTCTTCGTCTTCTGCTGGACCCCCTTCTTCCTGCACCTCATCCTCATCATCACCTGCCCCACCAACCCGCACTGTGTCTGCTACGCCGCCCACTTCAACACCTACCTGGTGCTCATCATGTGCAACTCGGTCATCGACCCCCTCATCTACGCCTTCCGGAGCCCCGAGCTGCGCAACACCTTCCGGGAGCTGCTGTGCGGCTGCGGCGGCGTGAGCCTGGGCTAGGGGAGGGGAGGGACCCAGGCGGCCCCCCATCCTCCCTCCCCCTCCCTCCCCAGCCTAGCCCAGATGCCCAGAGAGGTGACTGAACCGTGTGTTCACAGCCTTGAAGTGGAGGAATCCCTCCAGGATGAAGGGAGGAGGACTCTGTTCATTCATTCATTCATTCCCATGCACCCAGGGTTTGTATGCCTGCCTGCTCATTGCTTCATACCTTTTGTGTTTCCAGCCAATCAGACAGGGGGTGCGGGGGGGGGGTGCAGGGGGCTCAGAGCTCCCCCCCACCAAAAGACAGCTAACAGCTCCCACCTCCAGCTGTCAGAAGCCAGGAGAGCTCTGCACTGACTCCGCAAGAGACTTGAGTTTGGCTGGAGGACGCTATTAACAACCAAGCAGTTACCCAAAGGCAATGAACTTTGTGAACTTCTTCCTACCCTCACACCACACCGGCCCGCCCTCCCAGAACAACAACAGCACGTGGAGGTAACCCCCTTCCCACTTTGGGGGGGAGTGGGGGAAGGGGGGAGGAGGAGCCGGGGAATGTGCCAGTTGGCTTTGCGGGTTGACACCTGCTCGCTGCATTTGCCCCATTATGTCTCTGCTCCTTCTAAAACAAGAATGGACCTGGGGTGTGAGCGCAGATTGCACAAGGCACTGCTTCAGACACTGAGATCGCTTGAGACACTGAAAGAACTGGGTGGCTTTCTTGGGAGGTGTTTTTATTTATTTTCTAAACAGGAAGATTAGTGTAACGTTATGTATGTAGAGGAGGAATGCTTCTGGGATCCCTGTCCCTTTGGCTCAGGGTGGTGTTGGAGTTGGAGGACCGGGCATGAACACCCGTGGCTTGTGGGGCAAAGCCGGCCACTCCTGCTAGCACGGGGCGACAGGTCCTCGCTGGCACTGCGGATTTCTGTTTGCAGGTGGCATCTGCCAACCCCTTTTCTTGCCTTAGATATTTATCTAAGTCTGGGCCCTCCTTCCCTCTCCCCTGCCGCCTGATTCCTACATTGTGCTGTGTCTTTGGGGTGCGATTGTGTTCTCCAGTTCTGGAATGTGGGGGGGAAGGGGGATTGTTTTGTTTTGTTTTGGTATTTTTGTACCTGAAGGTATTCTGTTCATGTAAGTAAAATCATGCTTTACTGGCTTTGGCCATGCTACCTGGAATAACAATAAAGACTTTGTGGCTGCCCTGTGTCACCTTGCCCTGTGTCACCCACACTCACACACACACACACACACACACACACACACACACACACCACCCCCCACCTCCCTAGCTAACAGGCATCCTGTGATTCCTGCACAGCGCTGTGGCTACAACCTCTGCCTACAGCTTATGTAAAAGCCCCACAGATCAGAAGCCAGTCTTGGGGTAGTGGGGGGAAGGAAAGTGGGAGAAAAATGGGGAGGGGGGTAACAAGTTCAACAAGAAATGTACTCACTACCTTACTTATGCAGCTGTAACTCCTCTGTACATCACCTTGACAATGAAATTAAAATTTAAACAGAAAAGAAAAAGAAATAACAACTATGAAATCTTAGTAGGCACCGAGTACCAGTTCATAACTGAATAAACTAGCACTATATTTCCAATTGAAAAGAAGGAGAAGAAGCAGCCAGCCTTTCCCTGGTGCGGTGCCTGGTAGCCTAACTACCAACTCCCATTTTGTTTCCAAAAATACTATGCTAGTGTTTCCTGAGCTGTGTCATTCCCCCCATTACTGCAATCAAGATAACAGGCTCATTGGTGGCCACTGGGCAACAGAGGGGGAAACTAACCGCTAGAGGAAGGCTGAGGCCTGTTTCTATATCAACAAGACAAAAACAGCTTCCTTCTCCTGGTTACTTTCTCCTGTCCCATCAACAATCCTCTAAGACAGGGCACGCAGGAAGGACTTCTCCCGAGTTTCATGACCACACATCCTGACACTTTTTGTCCCTCCCGAGGGCCCAACAGGTGTCAGTAATCAACCAGACCCCACGCTCTAGCTTCCAGGAGCACGGCCTCACAGGAGGGCCCCCAAGGGTCATTCGGGGGGCGTGGAAGGCGGATTCTGTGTTTCTGACTCTGAGGAGCACCGGGAATGTGGGACGTGACTGCGGGGCTGGGTCATGCACTAACCGGTGGGGGTCTAGAGGACTTTCACCAGCCTCACCTTCAGAGTCCCCGTGTGGAGTGCTCCTCCAGGACCAGGAGTGCTCCTCCAGGACCAGGAGGGGCGCCAGGCAGGCATTTGCTCCCTGCACCCCGCCCACCCCCCAGTCAGGTACCACACTGACCCTGTTAGAGCCTCTATGACCTGTCACAGACATTGCGGAGTTTCCACGTGGAAATTCAGCAATTCAGTGGGGAGGTGGAGGTTCAAATCAGTGGCCCGGCCCACCCCACTGCCCACCCCACTGCCCACCCCACTGCCCACCCCCAGCTCCTCCCTCTTCTCAGGGAAGGAGCGCAGGTGGCCGAATGGCCAGGAACTACCTAACAGAAACATGGCAGAAAGCTGCATTAATCCAAGACATGTGGCCAGGTTCTCCGCTACAGTTAGGTTCTAGTCACATGGTGGACCAAGAGCCCCGGGTGGGCGGCCCTGCTTCCTAGAGCTCATGGGTTACAGCTAAAAACACAAAACCAACCCCCAGTAGGTCTTTCCAATGCCCCCCCCCATCACTGTGCCCCACACGGCCCCACGGAACCCCCCTTTGATTGGGGGAGCGTGCTGCACCCAGCCACAGACATGAGGGGAGCAAAGTAATCCCTAGGTGACAGAGTAGGGTACTGCTTCCCACATAAGGCAGAGTAGAGAGTGGCTATTCATTTTCCTCCCATTCTCTCTATCATCTAGAACTTTCCAGACGTTTCTGCAGGCTCGATTTGCACAATCCCGATTCCTTTGATTCTAAACAACACCCAGTCATTTGCAGATCCTCATTTAGAATTTCCATTTGCCATCGCCCCGAGGAGACTCGGTGCCCACTCATACAAAAGTTTGGAACTACATGCTTCCCTAAGTTTGGTTTTCAAATCCTCCCTGTGCCTGGCCTCACCGAAGCTGCTAAGTGGTTTGTTTCTCCTCCCTGACTTTGTCCTTGGCTTCCCAAAGACATCTCTCTGCGCTTAGCACTCCTCAGAGCTGCCCAGGGCCACACAGGTGGCGTATCAGACACAAACACAGGTTAATAATATCCTAACTCTTAAAATGGTTGTATAAAGAAAACATTAATCAACCATTATCACTCCCCTCAGACTCCAACTCTCCAACTCTCTCTCTCTCTCTCACACACACACACACACACACACACACACACAGTGAGTATATATTGCATTCTTTGTGTGTCCGCAAATGTGCATGTAGAATATGTTCATCACAGCCAATGGCAGAAGCCTCAAATGTCCATCAACTCATGAAGCAAGGCAGACGAAGTGTAGCTCATCATACATGAAAAATCATTCAGCTACAGAAAGAATTGGACTACATTTATGGTGCTGTTGGACCTCAAATGCAATGTGCTAAGTTGAAAAGAGTCAGACACAAGCTTTGTACCCATCTCCTGGGAACTGTCTGGGAAGGGTGATGTCATAGAGACAGAAAGTAGATTAGCAGCTGCCTGGGGCTGGGTGGGGGGAGGGTCAGGGGTGAACAGGCACCAGGCACCTTATTGGGGTGACAAAAATATTCTAAAACAAGAGAGTGCCGGGGTAGTGTCCCAACTTGGGAAAATTACTCAAAATCATTACTTGAACACTTAACAGTGTGATTTTTTTTGTTTTTTGTTTTTGGGGTTTTTTTGGGGGGGGGGAGTCCAGTCATGGGGCCTGAACTCTGGGCCTGGGTGCTGTCCCTCAGCTCTTCAGCTCAAGGCTAGCGCTCTACCACTTGAGCCACAGCACCACTTCTGGCTTTTTTTCTTTTTGCTTATGTGGTGCTGAGGAATCAAACCCAGGGCCTCATGCATGCAAGGCAAGCGCTCTACCACTGAGCCACCTTCCCAGCCCCCAGAGTGATTTTTTTTTAATCAGTCATGAGGCTTGAACTCTGGGCCTAGGCACTGTCCCTCAACTCTTCAGCTCAAGGCAAGAGCTCTACCACTTTGAGCCACAGCACCACTTCTGGTTTTCTGGTGATTAATTCGAGATAAGAGGCTCATGGACTTTCCTGCCCTGGCTGGCTTTGAACCATGATCCTCATATCTCAGCCTCCTAAGTAGCTAGGATGACAGGCGTGAGCCACCAGTGCCCAGAAACATAGTGAATGTTATGATGATAAATTATACTTTGCAGGAACCCCAGTACTCCAACAGGCCACCCCTGTCCCCAAGGGGCCCAGATCCCTAATAAGTGTGGGCCAGGTCCAGCAAGCTAACTCATGTTATAGAGTGCCATCTCACAGCTCAACAACTTCAACTCTTCAACCCACATCAGACCAAGCCCAGGACCTGCTCCACGGGTGCCTACAAATTGCTGGATGACAGACAGAAGGCCCAGGTAGATCTGAGTTGCTCTAGTGTGCTGTATAAGCACAATTCAAGTCTCAAACAGGATATACTTATATTACAAATGATTCATTTATTGTCTCACCTGGCAACCCCACAATACATAAGATGAAGTCTACAGATTCGTCATTGAATGAAGAATTGAATTACCATTCAAAGGAGATATATATTCTTTCGCGCCTTTACTCTGAAAACTCTACCCTCCCAGCTATTTTATTTCCTGGAATGTTTTCCCTTCCCTTCCTCTGCATCTTAGTCTGCCTAATTTAAAATCCCAGAGAAGCAGAGGCTGGTGGTACCTACTTATAGTCTCAGCACTCGGAGGCTGAGATCGGAGGATGGTCACCTCACTGTCAGCCTTTGCTGTACAGGAAGCACCTCCCTCAGAAAACCAAAGAAAAAGAAGGACAAGGCAAGAAAAAAAAATCAATGTTCTCTTCTAGAAGATTTCACCCCTTCTCAGGCCCCTGCCCCCAACCTCTCTGCATTCCAGAAGTGATCCAGCAAAAGCT